GTGAGCTCCCCCAGTACAACTGTATTAGTGCTTATTTGATTTTTCATGCCCATTAATATTTGTTTTATAGTTAGATGCACTAGTATTTGTTGCACATACATTTACAATTGTTATCTCTTCCTCTTGGATTGTTCCCTTTACAAAAGGATGTACTGACCTTCTTTATTTCTCTTAGTCAGCCTTGGCATCAAATTCACTTTGTCTGCAAATAGAATAGCTACCCTGCTTTTTTCTGGGTTTTTGTTGCATGGAGCATTATTTTCTATCCTTGACTTTCAGTCTATGAATTTCTTTTCAAATGAAATGTGGTTTTTGCATGCAGAATATTGTTGGATATTACTTCTTGATCCATTCTGCCAGTCTGTGTCTTTTGATTGGGGAGTTGAGACCATTAACACTGGTGGTTATAACTGATACGTATTGCCTTTTCCTTGTCATATTATTTTCCTGTTGTTGGCTCCTCCTCTTTTTTTCCCCTCCCTCTGTTTAACTGTTTGCCTTGCCTGATGGGTTCCTTCTGTTGGGATTCATGGTGTTATAGTCTTTGTTATCTCTTTCTAGATTGTCCTTCAGAACGTTTTGGAGTGCTGGTTTGATGGTCATAAATTTCCTCAGATGTTCTTTGTCATGAAAGTATCTTACTGCCGGGCTTGATGGCGCATGCCTGTAATCCCAGTACTCGGAAGGCTGAGGCAGGAGGATCATTGTGAGCTTGAGGCCAGCTTCAGCTACAAAGTGAGTTCAAGGCCAGTCTAAACTGCATAGTGAGACCCTGTCTCAAAAACAACAACAGCAAAAAAATGAAAATATCTTATTTCTCCATCAGTTTTGAAAGATAGTTTTGTGGGGATATTTCCATTGGTGAATTCTGCTAAGTATTTAAGGATGAAATGATACTAATTCTCTATAATCTCTTCTAGAAAACAAAGAGAGGGAAAACTAATTTAGAGGACAGCATTAACCCTATTATTAAAACCAAGAGAGACATCCTAAGAAAGGAAAACTATAGGCTGGGCCTGGTGGGCATGGTGGTAAATGCCTGTAATCCTAGCTACTTGAAAGCTGAGGTAGGTGGATCTCAAATTCCAGGTCTTAGAAGACCCTGTTCAAAATAAAAAGAATAAAAAACCTGGGGATGAAGCTGAATACTTACTGGTTTCCATCACTACAACAAAAAAATTTAAAAATAAAAAAGGGAGAAAAACTACGGAAAAGAAGTTTCATGAATATAGATGCAAAAATTCTCGCTAAAGTATTAGCAAATCAGCTGGGCATGGTGGTTGGTACACATTTGTAATTCCAACACTCTGGAAAATTGAGGCAGGAGGCTCAAAGTTCAAGCTTGGCCTGTGCAATTTAGCAAGCCTGTCTCAAAACAAAAAGCACTAGGGATGTAACTAAGTACAAAGGCCTTGAGTTCAACCTCTAATACCTTTCATACACAGAAAAAACAAATCAAATCAACATGTAAGAGGAATATATATATATATATATATATTATATACCACAACCAAGTAGAATTTATTGCAAGTATCCAAGGCTGATTCAATGTCTGAAAAATCAAGTAATCTATCAGTTCAACAGGCAAAGAAAAAAAAAATAATACGACCCCATCAATATATGAAGAAAATGCACTGGGGATATAGCTCAGCGGCATAAGTGCCTGCCTGGCAAGCACAAGGTCCTGAGTTTGATTCCCAGTGCCAAAAAAAAGAAAAAAAAAAAAAAAAAAAGAAGGAAATGCATTTGATGCCATACAAACCCATTTATGATAAAATCTTTGCAAACTAGCCAGGCTGGGTGGCACATACCTGTAATTCCAGCATTGGGGAGGCTGAAGAAGGACTGCTGTGATTTCACGGCCAGCCTGAACTACATAGGAAGACTCTGTCTCAGAAAATCAAAACTCAAAGAAAAGCAAACCAAAACAAAACAAATTGTGCAAAATGTAATTAAAGGGAAACTTCTTCAATTTGATAGATAATTTCCAAATAATAAGCCCTACGGCTAATATCACATTTAATGATAACAAACTAGATGCTTTTTCCCTAAGACGAAGAACAAGACTAAGAATTAAGTGCACTGGCACATGTCTATAATACTAGCATTCTGGAAGGCTGAGGCAAGGGGGTTGCAAATTGGAGCCCTGAGTTTAATCCCTAGCAATACCAAAAAACAAAACAAAACAAAAAAACCCAAGCAGTTGAAGATATACCTCAGTACAGTGCTTGCATAGTATGCACAAGGCCCTCACTTTGACCCTCAGCACTGTGAAAAAAAACCAGATTTTTAAAAATCAGGCAGGGATGATCACCATTCCTCAACAGATGCTGAAGGTCCTAACTAATCCAGTAAGGTAAGAAAAGGAAGTAACAGGTATATATTGATTGAAAAGGAAGAAATAAAACTGTCTTTGTTTGCAGATGACTGTGTATGTAGAATATCCAAAGAATCAAAAACAAAAAATTCCTGGGACTAATAAGTGATTAAATCAAGGCTGTAGGATACTAAGGTAAATATACAAATTAAAAAAAAAAAACTATATACAAAGGGTTTTCCTATACAACATCAACGAACAATTACAACTTTTATTTCTGTCTTTTTGAGACAGGGTCTGACTATGCAGTTCAGACTATCCTTGAACTCACTTTGTAGCCCAGGCTGGCCTTGAACTTGCAGCAATTTTCCTGCCGCAGCCTCCCAAGTGCTGGGATCAGACGTGCGCCGCTACACCTGGCCTTTTTCTTTCTTTTACAGTATTGGGGACTGGATCCCCAGATCCTTTTTATCTTTTGCTTTGAGACAGCTTCCTAAACTGCCCAACTCAGGCTCTAACTTGTGATCCTCTTGACTCAACCTCCTAGAATCATGAGATTATAGGCAGGAACTACCCGAGCTGCCTTGAAAGACCTACTTTCAAGGTTGACCCTGAGATGGTATCCATGAACTTGGATTTCAGGAGGGTTCCTGTTGTTTAGATCTAGAATGTCCCCCAAAAGACTTGTATGTTCTGAGGAAGGGCTCTGTGAAGGTGACCAGATCATGGGGGTGTCACACTCACCAGTTAATCCACCCAGAGTTCAGAGCTGCGTGCTTGGGAGGTGGGGCTGGTCTGAAGAGATGGGTCCCTGGGTGCATGTCTGGGAAGGTTTCTCTCTCCCTGTTACTCCCTTCTCTGCTTCCTCGCTGTAATGGGGTGAGCAGCCGTTTTCTATCCATGCTCTTTCTCCCCTCAAGTCAGCCTATCAACTACAACCCCTAAAAGCCATAAGCCAAGATAAACTTCTCTCTTTTAAATTGGTGATGTTGGATTTTTTTGTCCTGGCAAGGAGAAAAGTGACTAAGATAGTTCCCATCACCCTGGTTTATAAGAGTGACCCAATGTAATTAAACAGCTGGTATAAACAATGTGGTTTACACTGAAATCCCACTTTCCTTATGAGGACACTGGAATTTTAGCATGTGATTAGCTCCCTACAAAATTCCTAGGCTCATCCAAGAATGAAGTGCATGCCTATAGTCTTGTCTTGGAAGGCTGAGGATGGAGGATCCCTGGAGCCCAGATGTTCAACACACAGTGAGACTCTTGTCTTAAATAACAAAGACAAAAACACTGGGGAACCAATGGTATCCCAAGTGACTCTACTAGGCAAGGACTCTTGGAAGCTTGTATGTGATTTCCTGTAGGCCACATCCCATGCACTTTGCCCCGTTGTTGATCTTGGTTTGTGACCCTGTACTTTAATAAATTATAGCCACAAGTAAGACTCTGTGAATCTTTCTAACAAAACCTGGAGGAGAGATCTTATAGATCTCTGATACAACCTCATAACCACATAATTAGTATCAAATTTATTTAGATAAAGCTCAAGTAAAAAGGACAAATTTACCTCAAGTTTTTTTTTTTTTTTATTTGTCTTTTTTTGAGACAGGGTTTCTCTATGCAGTTCAGGCTAGCCTTGAGCTCACTTGTAGCCCAGGCTGGTCTTGAACTCACGAAGATCCTCCTGCCTCAGCCTCCTGAGTACTGGGATTACAGGTGTGCGCCACCACTCCCAGCTTACCTCAAATTTTTAAAAATGAATCTCTCAGCCAGGCATGGTGGCACATACCTATAATCCTGGCACTTGCCTGAGGCAGGAGGATTGTTGTGAGTTCCAGACCAGCCTGGGCTACAAAGTAAGCTCAAGGCCAGCCTGAACCGCATAGGGAGCCCCGTCTCCAAAAAAAAGAGTACCTCATCTCAGATAAGTGAAAACAAAATTCTATATTGATAAAAACTATAGACTCTGCACCTACCACTGATCAAGAGCCCAGTACGTGCTAATATAGTACTATGTTAAATACTTTACATCTACTATGTAATTCTCACAAAAACCTTTGAGACAGATACATATTTACATCCCCTTTTATATGTAAGATATTGAAATCCTAAGAGTGTACTAAGTTGCCCATAGATCAGAGATGAAACACAAGGCAGAGATGGGATTTAAACCTCGGTTTATCTAACTCCAAAGCCAGTATATTTCTACTGCAGTTCCAAATATATTACAAGTATAGTACAAGTATAGCACAAGAAGCTAATGAAATAAACTCATCAGAGGTAATGTGTGAACTCAAATAATTTTTTTATTAGTTAAAAAAATTTAGTACCTTCATTACAATTCAGCTATGATAAAAAATATTTCAAAATTTGTACTATTAAGTCTTTACTGAGGTAGTCATACTTATATAATTAGAACATTTCAGTATCTCTGCTAGTGACACGCAATAAAAATGAAGAAAGTAACAAAGGCATTCTACAACCCCAGCACTCAGGAGACTGAGGCAGGAGGATTGTTGCGAGTTTGAGACCACCCTGGGCTACAAAGTGAGCTCAAGGCCAGCCTCAACAGCATAGTGAAACCCTGTCTCAAAAAAGACCAAAAAACAAAACAAAAAGAAGAAACCAACAACAACAAAGGTGGTAACAAATAAATTCGTAGTTTGAATTAACTTACCATTCTTCTTTTATACTTTCAAGATTATCTAGTTCTTTCATTCTCTTTGT